CAGTGAGACTGTAGAAAAATATTCCAGCACTTGAGTTGTATGTGGCAGCAGCATTGGAGTTCATGAACGCTGTGGTCAATAAAATGATAGCCGAGGATTTTTTCCTAAAGAAAGGCCATTTAAACAGGAAACAGCCTTTAGCTGTAAACTGAATTGTGACTGTTGCTGAGCGTTTTTCTTTGTCATGTGTAGAATATTCAGATGCCAAAATTACCTATTTCATAACTAAATGTCTACTTTGGTATTTAAAAAAAACCCAAAACTGTCTCATCTGCTCCTGTCTCTCCCCTGAAATTTTTACTTCTTAAGTTCAGTTTACTCTTAAATTCCAATTACTATAAATAGCCCCAAAGGAACATTTTTACTTTAAAGGTTAATGTCTAGAATGTCAAGATTCCATTTGTATTTTGAGAGGAAAAGCCACCTTCAGTAGTGATTGTCAGGACAGGCAAGGTCATTATTAAAAGTTGAACAATCTCTGTTGGATGAGGCCAGTGAAACAGCAACATCTCTTTTCATAAAAAAAAGGGGGGAAGCTGAGGGCAACATGGCCCGTTGTTTCACAAAAGGCACTGAGAACTATGGTCTCTTGAAGCGTTTTAGAATTTTTTAATTAACTTATTTAAAAAGGAGGTGGCGGGGGGAGTGGGAAGCAACCAGTGCATCTGTGAGTTCTGTAGTGATCAAGTGGTTTCTCCCAGCGCTCAGGCGCTCCCGTGACTCCACCGCCTGAGCTGCCTGACCTCACCAGTGCTGGTCAGCCCAGCCTGCTCACTGAGTCCCCACCAGAAGGCCTGATATGGTGACCAGTCATCACAACAGACCTGGACAGGGGAGATTTGGCATCTATAGCTGCAGGGCACACACATCCATAGAAGTGATTTTTATCTAAAAAATTTATATGATAATTGATAGAAAGGTGCTAAAACAATGGATTTTGCCATTCCTATGTTTAGAGACGTCATTTATTTGCCTAATCGCTAGACAGCGCCCACTTCCTGCTGACTGATTTAAATTGTGGTGGAAAATGCTACCGTGTGTGGGAGTCAAGTTCCCCAAGACAGACCATTCTGAGTTTTAGTGTGCTAAGTGTCTGGGAAGGTGGATGGCTTTAATTTCTACATTCCCTCCAGTTAGGCCATAAATAAGGATGGGAGAAGCAAGTTAAAATCACCACCTAGTTTTAGACAGTATAGTAAACTGTTTAGCTTCCTGGCTCTTATCTCAACCTAGAGAGTTAGACATGTAATCCTATTAGAACGTTTTCTGTCTCTAATTCTTGCCCCTACAGAACAGTGATTCATGTTCTTTTCATGGCATCATGGCTCTTTCCAGCCTGGCTCACTCAAAAGGAATGCTAGTTAAGATCACCAGCAAATCTTCCTGGCTGAGGGGCCTTGAGCAGATGAGTGACACCACAGACTTTTTTTGTTTTGTTTTGTTTTTAAAAAAAAAGTTTGGCTACATGGCTACATGTCTGTGTACATAATATACATCTATTTACACATAGGCACACTATATACACTGTACAGAGATATAAACACATGTACATTCATATCCGTCCATCAGACGGCCTAGAAGCCTGTTCATGCCACCGCTGGGGCAGGAGCCAGGCCTGGACTGGGACAAGTGCACACTGGCAGGAGGCACACACGAGGGGTCCAGAGGAGCCTGGCCTGGTAAGGACTGGCTTTAACAGTTGACACCAAAGTTAAGACATTTTAAAAGCCTCACAATTTAGAGAATGGGGGTTGGACCAAAAGAAGCCTGTGGGGCATCTGCTCTGCCAGCTAGGCTGCATTCCTGGAGTGACAGGCACTGCCAACCTGGGTGAGGCTTCACAAGATGACTGTGTATGGGGATGCCATCAGAGGTCTGCTGCACACAAGGCCACTGAAACCAGGGCTTGGGCAACAAGTACCCACCCAGTGGCAGCCTGCTGAGGCCCACGGACGTGGACAAAGCTTGGCCACCCTCGCGCCAGAAGTCTGCACTGGGAGCAAGAAGAGCATGATGTGCAGCTAACGCCCTCCTGTGGGCATCCCACCAGCAAGCACACGGCCAAGTACTAAGTAGTGTGGGTCTAAGCCGATGTTCTTCTGAGTAAGCTACTGTTACATTTGAAAACCCGAGCAGCCAGCCTTGTCCATTCCTATCACCATGGCTGGCATCCTGTCTCAGAGATCAGAGTTCACATTTAATACCGATAAAGACAAACTAAAAAACAATCCCTCTTGAGGGCAATTATGCGGCACATCTTAAAATACATGACTACAAGTGAAATGAAATGAAAAACCAAGACAACAAAAGAGCCCAAGTGACAGCCTTACGGTAAATTAGAAAACCAACAATGTAACCCCTAACACATACATAAAATTTCAAATTAGAAGGATGGTACCATAATTCCTTGGAAACTTTAAAGGAGTAACTTAAAAATTACTTGCTTAATTTATTTGCTCATTTTGGAGTCAGCAGGCAGATGGCTTTTATCATTTCACTAGTTTCACAAATGATTTAAAGGCCTATAAAATGTTGCAGCCCAAATATATGGTTAGGATTCCTTTAAACAATTCTAGACTTTGGAGTTTACTTTTCTTAATTTGAGTCTTCTTTTTCCAACAAAAAGAAAACACAAAACCAACAGAGAGATGAACTTGGAAGTCAAAGAACTGAAATTACTTCAGGTCAAGAAGGGCACCTGTGGCTGGCAACAGGCCCTGGGCAATTAACTAAAGAGTGTCTAAAATCCAGAGCGGTCTTCACGTGTGAAGGAAAGGAGATTAAAAGGCAGGGCTGGCTCCTGATCGGGAACTTTCCAAGCTAAATCCCGTTTTTCTCTAGGCTTTCTCACCAGAGCCTGTGGCTTTGCTGTCTGAGTCCTCAATGTCTTCTTGCCAATATCTGCCTCTATTTTCAACAGAATGAAAAAGTGGCACCTCCTGGGCCCTAGTCTGAGTCTTAAACCATATAGAGGCCCTAGGGCTTCCAGGTCTGCCAGCCAAGTGCAGGTAGTAGTCATGGGGCAAATCGGGGAATCCCTCAGCACTAACACCAAGAACTGAGATCTGTAAGATTTAATGAAAAATATATCCTTAGAGAATTGCTACATGATCAACAAACATGCTTACATTAAAAAAAATTTTGAAAAAACAAACAGAAAAATAGACAACCTATGTGTAAGATGGGTAAAAGTGCTTTAAAATGCCCTCTATCTACTAAAAATCTTCACAAGCAAAAACTGAGGCTAATCTAATTCTATTGTCTAGGTGAAATTTTTGTTTTAATTTTGCAATTAAAACTGACTTCAGAATCAGAAAATTACTTTAAACTAGCAAAATGAAATCCATTCTAGTATTTTATAATGGCCATACTCTCCCTTTTCAAAATCTGCTTCCAAGGCATAACTATGGAAAGTGATGTAATTAAATCCCAAACGGGAATTTCTAAGTAGGAAGTCCAGTCCTTCTTACTGTCCATTTGCTACGGACTTTCATCAAGTGCTGCCATCACGTCTTATGAAGGTGGCAGTGTTTAGCTTGTCAACACGGTGCTGCAGGACGTGGCAACCTCATCCAGCACCCCACGGGCCTCCTGGGACCTGACTCTGACACTCCTTGCCCAAGCCAGATCTGAGCATGCTGACAGAGAAAGGGGATGGATAACGGGGTTCAGATTTTAAGGATCGACTTTTAAAAACTGGAATTATACAAGAAGAAAACGTACATGGCTCGATTTTGGACTTGCTAGTTTCCTCAAACATGAAATGCTTTCTCACACTGATGAGGCTGATGGCTGCTCCTCAGAGTACACCTCAGAGTATCTTAATGAATATGTTCTGATTTTATTGTAAACTCTACTGCTGACTATAGTGTAAAAAAGAATATCACCTTTCTTATGTGAAGGCTGGTCTGAAGAAGCAGGAAGCCTACCTTTAAACACTCGGGTGGTTTATTGGCCTACATCTGGGGATACAAAGTGCTCAGTGTGCCAAGACCATTAGAGCAAACGGTGATAACGAGTCTGTAGATGTTCTGAGAAACGGAAGTTTAACAGAGACAAACTATCCTGAGATCTTTAGCTTGGCCAGAAGCGAGATCCTCCACAGCCCCACTGCCAGCCTTTCTGACTGAGCGGCAGAACAGAAGGTTCTCTCAACGGGCACTGTTGGGAATAAACCACTAAGGCAGAAACCATTCCAAGAAGATCCCAACTCTTCCATCCAAACAACATGTAGCCACCCCAGACTGAGCTCAGGAAATCCATTCAAAGGCTCCCAATGCCCACTGTCTGCTGTTTGGTCAGAAGGCGCATCTGCTTTTCATCTTGTTCTGCACAAGACCTGGGGATGGGTCCAGGTGCTGGAGGAACTGCAGGTCTCACCTGGCAGTTCATCTTTGAGAACAATCATGAAGCACAGGTTTCTGAGGAGGCCGCAGATGCCACCACACTGCAGGAGCCTGTGGTCAGGAACCTCACCAGCATGAACCCTACAACTACAAACTTGGGGTTTGCATTGCCTCAAACCATTCTACTTTCCTTTCACTGCATGCTGCAAATGAGCCAGGTTTGCATTTGTTCACAGGGATTTGGCTCACCACCACCAATATGTGCATGACATTAGGAATGATGCCCTCTTTTCTGAAACATAAACGATTGTCTCCTGTACCCTAGTGAGTTTTCACAGAAACCATTAGCATTTCGGCAAAAGACATACACTTTTAACTTGCCCTGTCCAGAGGCAAGATGTTGCTAACATCACACATTGACAAGAAGTGCTTAGAAAGTGCTAATATTATTACCCTGGTAATTAGTAGCTATTAATTCCAAGGACATTTTTAACATATATACACATACTGTTCTCTTAGGTTCTTTTAGTTTTAATACTAGTCTCTGAAATGATAAAATTTGTTTTTTGCCCTTTGAGAATTTCTTAATACAAACTGAGTTAAAAGATTGTTCCAAAATCTGCTACTTCATCAAAAGGCATTAAAACATTTCTAATGGCAGGAAAGGATCCTACTAGTCTTTTTGTTGCTATTTTCAGAATTAACAGATAAAAAGAAATCAGGTAGGAAAATGGCTAACATACTGGAAATATGTGCACATATCAAAATACCACTACTTTTATTTTCCTTGTATCTGAAAGGTTCTGAAGTATCTGCGCTCAGCAGGTGTGCAGGGTGCACTATAGACTGGCTCCAGTGATCTGGCCGTTGTATTCTGCTGTCTCCATCTTGAGGATGTAGGGGATTATGCTGTCTATTGAAACATTGCCAATGAGGCCAGTAAAGAAGAGTTCTTCAGTTATATTGGAACTCATAAGCCTGAGTGCTGGCAGGCGGACAAGAATCCGAGCCAATCTGTTAAGAGAGAGAGATATTAGAATGGGGCTACTGACCAACCTTCTGACTTAGTCCTGGACGTTGTTAGGGCTTTGTGTGTACGCTCAAAATGGAATGAGACAATCAGCAGATCCTCTTGTAGGAATTTATCATGAGAGAAAAAACCCAAATCACACAGAGATGTAGGTACAAATATGTTCCCTTCACTGTTCTAACAACACTTCTTCCACCCAAACTAACCAAGCAATAGATCTGGAGACCAGCTAATCTATCCATGGGACAGATTAAAACAAAACGTTTCTATGTAATGAAATGCTACAGATGCTCGGAAAAATGACAGCAAAGATTTACATTCACTAGTATAGAAAAATACCCATGACATACTGCTCAATAAAAAGGAACAGGTCCTAAAGCCTTAAGTACAACACCATTTCATTGCCCATCAACAAACGAATGGCTAGAGAAGCTGTGGTATATTCACACAATGGAATACTATGCTGCATTAAAAAACAAGGAACTCATGCAATATTATTCAAAATGGTTGACTCTGGAGAACATTATGCTGAGTGAAATATCCCAGTCACAAAAGGACAAATATTACATGATGCCACTGTTGTAGAATGGGACTGTCCTTGGGGTTGGGGAGAGACTGAGTAAGATGGGTTCAATAATGTATACTGCACTGAAACAGAGGAGGGAGAAAACTGTTTAAAAGAGATATATAACTAGGTATTTCTGTCATCACAGGAGACTAGAGCGAGGGCTACATGGTGGAGGGGACGTGGGGGAGGGTTTGTAAAACAATGAAAGAATCTTTTCTTTTACTTTTCCATAATTTCTGGACTCATGTACTTATAACTTTTTAGTCAAATTTGTGTCTTCTAGGTTGCAACACCCCCATGATACATCTTCAAGGATATGAACATGTACGGCCAAGCACAATCAATAAGAGTGCATCTAAATTCCAAAATCAATCTCCATAATAGTCTATGTGTTTCCTACTGCCAAAGGGGCCCTTTAGAGTAGTGAGAGAAGATCTTCACCCTGAAACCCACAGCGTCCCTTTTCAGCAGGAAGTAGCTAAGAGAATACGCCATCCCCTTTTCCTTATGACTCAGGGTGAAGTCTCTCTCAGGGAGGAGTGATAGGGAATGGCAAAGGACACACTGACAAGAGTAATCAGAACTGGCTTTGACAAGCACTGTGGCATTTGGACAAGAACAAACTGGGAGGAGGGTAGAGAGAATAGTGCAACAATGAATGAATGGAAACCCAAAATATAGAAAAAAAAAAAACCAAAAGGACAAATATTGCAGAGGGCCACTGTTGTAAAACAGAACTGACATCAGGGTTGAAGGAAGACAGTGAAGGAGGGGAGGAATGATGTCTACTGCATTGAAGCAAATGAGGGAGAGAACTGTTTAAAAGGGATATATGATTGGGTGTTATTGTCATGACATGAGTCCGTAATGAAGGCTGCACAGTGGAGTGGACTTGGGGGGAGGGATTGCATAATAATGAAAAAGTTTTTCTTTTACTTTTCAAAGAGAAGAGTGAAGTGGGGGGAGGGGTGGGCAGGGAGAAAAGTGCAACAATGAATGACTGGAAACCCTAAGTCTCTGTAAACTTTCATTAAAATTAATAAAAAGAAAAAAGACAAAAAAAAAAGTACACCACCATTTCATGCATGTATGTATAGATATATATATATAGATACACACACACACACACACACACACACACACACGTGTATACAAAGTTTCTCTTTAGAGGCTAATGGTGACCTCTGGGCACTGGGATTTAGATTGATTTTACCCTATAAAACATCTTTTTCTGAATCTCCCCAATTTCCAGTGTTCATTTAACATTATCATTAAAAAGAAATGAGATACTATTTTCATTTTGTAGAAACTGTGGGTAGGAAGACAGCCTGCCCCTGTCCCTGCCGCTGATGGGAAAACAGCGGGGCCCAAAGCACCACACGTGGTCCAGCACTCCCCGTCTGGAACTTGGTCCCAGGACACACTGCAAAGGGCAAGAGCGGCATGAGCAGAGATGCCCTCTTGGGGTTCACTGCAGCCCCCAACATGGTCACCAGCAGGGAAATGCTGAACTATGCCATCTTCTCAGTCACAGAAAGATGTATGCTCATCATAGATTAAATAAAATAGATGGTTTATGGATAAAGCTTTCTGTATTTTATGATCTCATTACACATATATTAAAAATGTCTGTAAGTAAATGGATAAAAGCATTAACATTTAGGTATCTCTAGACAGAGCTTTCATGGAGTTAAAAAAATTTTCCTCTTTCTATTTCTAGAATGTTTCATATATTTTTCTACAGTTCAATTTTTAAAAAGAGAAAAATGTACTATATTAGGTAGGCAGTGTGACAGCACCACCATCCATTCACCAAGGCACCGGGAATCTTATGCCTTCTCCATGCAGAGTACTGTGGGGCCATCATCCACAGGCCCTCGACAGCTGGGTTTCAAGGGTACCTTAGGCAGACCTGAGAGGTCAGCCCGGAGTCTAACAGCATCGATTAGATAATGTAAAGAGTGGGGAGGGCATTTCATGAGGAACAAACAATATGAGGAAAGGCACAGCAGTGCCATTAAAAAATGTACTACATAAACAGCACGTAAAAAAACATTCTAGGACCATTTCTTTGAGAACGGCCTTTGACGTGTTTCAGAGTCTATTAAAAAAAGCCTCCCTTGTTTTTGGCTCCTACTCACTTAATTCGCATACCCAGATTTCCCCAAATTAGAACAGGATGATTCATGGTTGTTCCCAAAGATGATACTGTGACTTTCAAAGGATGCAGCCCCCAAAAAAGGAACTGCTGAGGAGTAGGCCGGCTGCCTCCTTAGAAGATACTGCAAAGTGGAGGAATTCTGGGTGTGGGGTGCCTTATGAGATAGTCTCATTTGTTTATACTGGGAGTCCAGTTAGTCTAGATCTATTAATTAGGTCTTTAGGGAGTCCAGAAGAAAAGGGATTCTACTTGGGCCACAGCTTTGTGCCTAGATGAGAACAGCTATCTACCAGCAGCCCCCTGGCCCATCTCTCTCCACAGCCACCTACAGAGCGAGTTCTCTGCAGAGGACACAGAGGCTAGGGTTGGTGGCCAACACATCTTCTGAGACTTACCAATTTTGCCTCAAAATGTACTTTAGGGGGCTAAAGCAAGGAGGGAAATATTGAGTCTAAATGATTTAATACAGGGTCCCAGAGTTTCAGGTGGGCTCGAGTGGGTTAGAAGTGCTCACAGGGACAAAGCTCTTTATGCCTTGGTTGAAAGGCTTGTCAGTGTACTTTGCCCTATCTCAGAACAGTTTTCCTGTGTAAATCTACATGAGAAAAGCATAGTTAATATTTTTTTTTTGTGGCCTATCATTAAAATTAATAGTTTAATGAATTTTTCTTTGAGGAAACTTGTTCTATCAGTTTATCAGGAGGTGAAATTACAATTTATATTGTTAACTCAATAAAGAGACTTTTTCTATCACTTTATCTGGTGAAATTATTCTTTTCTACAACTCATCCTTTCCTTGATAGGAACCAGGTACTGTTCCTATCAAGTACTTTAGCAACCCCCCAAGTGCTGAACAGAGGTACCGAGCTTTAAATGTAGCAGACAAGGGCATGTCTATGAGAATGTAAGCCTCATACACTACGTCACCCTGTGCGGCATCCCCATCAAATCCAATCCCTACATTAAACAGAAGAAAGCTGAAGTCTTCCCCCAAAGTCACACAGCAACACTGGGACAGGTGCTGGTATTCAGGCCTCTACCCCGCCTAGTAGACCTATTTAATTTTCCTTCACCACCTGTAATATTAGAGAATGCAACAGTGACTTAATGGAGCCTCTACAAGCTGCTGGAAACAGAAAGACTAACATAATTTACACTTGAAACAAACGATCCAGCCACACTTGTTCCCGCTCAAGCCAGGTGTGTACTTCAGGTCTGACCTGTATGTGTCTTCCGAGTAGGTTTTCTGAACATAGTCCTGCAATTCCATCTGGGCCTTTTCTTGGAATTTTTCAATCTGGCTTGTGCTGGTCAAACCTGGATGATCTGAAAACAGAGGAGAGACCCGAAATTCCCACCTGTTATTTGGAAATCCTCACTGCAGACTACTAATTTTAGTCATATTTCTGAGTAAACAACTCTAAAGGTGATCAAGTCTGAATGCTGCTGTCTGAGCTACCCTACCTGGGTTGGTTGTGGACCTTTGGTGTCCCACTATATTTCAGGTTTTCAAAATAAGAGCATGAAACTTTCTTTCTAGATACTCAATCATAGAATTTCTCCCACTTTCACTAGCTGTTTCCTTGTATGTGTGAATAGAGGGATAGAAGAGAAGGGAAACTATCAAGACAGCTCAAGTGTACTCTTTGGAAGCTCAGGGAGAGGAGCTGGGGGCTTGTGAGTGAGGTCACCCCAGTCTACTTCTGCTGCCCCCTCTTCATTTGCTATCATCATGCCTTTATCAGGTCTTGTAGCAGCCCATGGCATACAGACTGTGGGCAAACTCAGAGCTTCAAACTGTACTGGATGTTAATATGAGAGGAAAGGAAAATGATGGAACGCACAAATGCCATTACAGTATACATATGCGCTGTGTGTGTGTATGAACTGAGCTTTAAAGGTAAGAACAAAAAAGAAAGTGTAGAACATCTGCCCACATACTATTTGTATTTGGCAGGGCTCTCTCTACACCCCTGAAGACTTGACAATAAATTCATTTTCAGAAATAGCAGTAGACACAGGTGGAAAACCAACATGAGTCACCACCTCATATCTTACCGGGGCTAAAGAGAACTATAGCTTTAAGGTATGCATACTCATAGCCATCTATATCCAGCTTCGCCATACTGTTACAGAACTCCTGCAGCTTCCAGATGTGCTCCATGACTTGTTTGATCCGGTCACCAGAAAGTTTATCTAGAAACCAATATTACAGACCCTCTGAGAAACAGTCATACGCACAACAAAACTAGCTTCTTCAAGGGGTTACAGATGGGAGAAGAATAAAAAAATACCCCAATAAAGTAACTAAACCTAGGGAGCTCTGGTGCTCTAGTGGCAAGAAACAGCATTGCAATCCCGGAGGTATGTGGTTCAAATCCACCAGATGCTCTGCTGGAGAAGGAGGGGCAATCTCCTCCTGTACCAGTCAGACCAGATCTGACAGTTAACACACACAAAATAATAATAATTAAAAAAAAAATAAATAACTGAACCTTTTAATTAAAACAAAATCTCCAGATGGTCAAATATTTTTATAGTTGATGGTAAAGAGACAACGTAAGTAACTGATGTATTTGACTGAAGATGTTAGCTCGATTCCACCTCTGTCTCATTATGTGAACAGGTTCCCCAATTCTGTTCCATTATATATTTTGCCCCAATAATGAAATCCCTACACCAGGGGCCCTGCCAGGCAGTGCTGCTGGCCTAGAAACACAAATGAGTCATCTCTCCCATACAGTACTGTGGACCCACTGCTCAGTTCAAGTAAATGGTGAGGTTTTCTAAGTCTCTGTAGGCACTCAATCGATGTTCACTTAATCTGAATGTTACATTTTGGCAACTTTTAACTATCAAGACAATTTAATTATCTCATTTAATCTTCATGGAAAGACTTTGCAGAAGTTACCTTTATATTCAGTTAAACAAAATAAGGGTAAAACTGAAATTTATTTGTGAACAAAATCCGATGTCATCTGATAGATGACTCTATCTTTTTAAAAAGTCATTTTATATATATTTTTTATTTATTTATACACACACACACACACACACACACACACACACACACACACACACACATAAAATTAACACTAACCTTGTATATTATTTGGTAATAATGATGGTAACATTCTCATAGACCGTAGACCTCTCTTTAACTCACACACACACACACACACTCACTCTCTCTCTCTCCCCCCCCGCCCCCCGAGGGAATAACCAGAAAAATATTTTAAGCACTCAGATTTTTGCTCAACAAGAGTTTGTGTACTGACTGATCCTGGGCTACTCACTGTTCTTTAGTCTGACAACATGCAATATGGGCATGGAAGTCACTGGCTAGTTTATGTTCTCAATACAGCTGTTTGATCATCAAACGTTAAACAGCTGCCACTGATCTTGCTGTGCTACGAGCTGTTCATCCATTGATGGGATGGACTCAGAGTGTCCTGGGCCAGGAAGCCTGCATGACTTGCGGTTTGTGCCCCAGCTCTTCCACTTGATTTCTGTCAAATCAGGTACCTTACTAGGGCCTCTGTTTCGGCATTATGTAAAACTAAGATAATTTTATAAGATTATAAAGATTAATAAGATATTACACATGGAAGAGGGTACCCCATCAATGAAGATGAAAAATGTGATTATTTAAAAAATCCGAAACAATAACAATCCAAAATATCTACTGACACACAAAACATCTGCTAAGTACCTATGTATTGAAGCAGACAACTTTTTTTAAACATTATGTTGTTTTTCCCCTTATTAATTATTTGAAAAGAGGAAAAAGTCCCACTGGCTTCCAGTTAAACACTCCTGTGGATGCTGCTGGATACCGAGGCTGCCCAATCAGCCCTTGCCAGGGTTCCATGACACAGCACAGGCTCACCCCCTCCTTCCCATCCCTACCTTCCTGGATGCTATTCTGCAGGTGGTTGACGATGGCGGCCAGGATGGTGGAGAGGCTCATGACCTGGGCACACTGGGCGAGGCCGAGGGTGAAGAGCTCGTTCCAGCAAGCCCGCACCAGGCTGGTGTTGCAGTCCTGCCTGGTGGCATAGAGAAGAGGGTCCCCATGGTTAAGTGCTGCCACCTTTCCATGGAGCGATGGACACAGGCCTCTAGACTCAGCACTGTCCAAACTCAGGGTTCAGTAGGTGCTTGCTGAAGGCCTACACCATGCCCAGGATCATGCTCCAGGAAACCACTGTCTACAAGTGCCCACACGCAAGTCTCTCTGTTGACAAATTAACCAATTTCTTTTTTTTTTTTAAATAATTCTTTATGCTTAAGCAGAGGGAAATTTTAATATGTATGGCCAAACTGTCATCTTCTATAACTGTCTGAATCCTGGCCATTTCCAGCATCCTCAAATATACGCCTATATTCACTACCCTGGAACATGAACTTAAAAAGAGTATTACATGAAACAAAACTGAAATCACTTAACCGCCAGATTTTATCTGGCTTCAGTGTATACTACTGCATTCTATCCTGGGTATACTTAGGGTTAAAAAACTCTGTGGAGGAGCTTCTAAATGGCTCAAACAGAAAAAGTACCTTTAGGGTAACATAACAGTCTTAGCTACCTACCAGTACCCAGGGTTATAAATGAAGTTACATCACCTGCCTCAAGGTAGCAAAGGACAGGTCATTTTCCTCAACTACTAATTCCCACGTTAACAAATTACTCAGCAGTTTCTGGCTTATACAGCTCTCCTCAGATGGGCAGGGTCCCAATCCTGTCCATCTTGCCTTCTGTCATGAAGTTCTGTGACTATGTCAACAACCATCCCACCAGTACCACATCCATAGCTTCCGCAGAGTTCCTGCCATACCATGTGGAGGTACTGAGTTAAGAGATTTATAGACCCTAAGAACATGGAAATAGCCCAACTGTCCAACTACACTAGAATGGACTGTGAAACTATGGTACAATCACACAATGGAATACAACGCAGAACGATGGAACAATGATTTTGAAAATCATTACCTAACTTAGGAGGGACTGGAGAGCATCATTCCAAGTGAACTAACTCCATCCCATAAGAACAAACACTGTGTAAGATCATTATTGTAGAAATAGATAACTAGTTAAGGGCGGGGGGACGGGGGACGGGACGGGGACACGACAGTGGGAGCAGAGGGCTGAGGATGGCTCAGGGAATGGGTGGGTAATCATAGGGTCGCACAATTTGATGGGTGGTGGGAGAGGTGGGTAAAGGAAATAGGAAAGATCTGGTGTGAAAAACAATGTATATGAACTTTGTAAGTAAACCAGTATAAAATAAATATTTAAAAAAATCATTTATAGACCCTAACCCCTGAAAAGATTCTATATTAAAGAAATTGGAGGCTTGTGCAAGATCACACAGCTGGTAAATGCTACTTTTATAATCTCAAATCAAGGCACCAACTTGAACCTGTCAGCCCCAAAGCCAGTGGTCCAAGCCACTGGATACCTTAGCTTTTCACTCTGATGTATTGGACGTACAACCCTAAGATGGTTACTTTGTAATGTGAATTAACTCAAACTTCATTTCCATTTATGAGTAGCAGCTAGTTCCTAATCAGATCATCTGCCACCTGATGGACATAATGGCAGAGCTGGTACAGGCGTGTGTGGGAGAAATAAGACAAAGCATACACAGGCTGACACTCAGTAAAGAAGCAAGAGGCTTCCAAGATGGCATGGGGTAAAAGGCTTGTGTGAGCATATCATGTCACTGTGTCTGAGGACACTGCTGACTCACAAGTTCCTCATGCTGTTAAGGGACCAGGAATGATGTGTGAATCTATGTCAGTCTACTACTGCCCAGCATATGTTGTTGACTGCCTTCGAGTCGGGAACAACTCGTAGCAACCCTATGCCTAAAGCCCCTCTACAACTATTGACATTTATCAAAGTTCATAGTGTTTCCAGAGGCATGTTATTTAGGAAGTGGATGCCACTCCTGCTTTCAAACCCAGCATATGGAGGAAATGTAATGTAACCAAAGTCTGTAGAACTGGCAGCCCTGACTACATTCCAGCCCACATGGAGATACTGAAGGAAAAAAATTAGTTATTTGACTTAATCACAAAGAATCTAAGTGGAAGGACCCCAGAGATCTTCTAGGCCATTCCTAGAGTAAAAGACTTTGCTCACGGACACTTACCCAAGTGCCTGAAAGGCTGGGATTGACCTCGCCCAGTGCATCGAGAGGAAGAGCAGGCGGGACGCAGACTCACATATGTAGTGCACATTGAGGTATTCTGGCATTGGGCTGGGCATTGTTAGCTAGAGAAGAGGAGACATACCGAATAGGAGATAAAGTAGACAAGTTGACACCTCTCTCAGTCTGTAATCCTGGGGAGCGTCTACAACAGTGGCAGCCCACAGTCACTGTCTCTGACTTTGAGATGCTTGTGTGGCTTTATCCTTAGTTAAAAGTGTATATCTTCTGTAGTGGAAGGGGCTTGTACTGACTTGCTGTTTTCTTGCCCAGTGAGGTAGGGTCTAATGACCCTCAAAATGTAGTCAAGAGGCCCAGGGGGAACTCCCACTTACTCATACAAAAACAGTCTTCAACTCTTGCCTCAACTAAAATGTAATTTGTTTTAAAGCAATTCAATTAAATTAAATTTTTGTTAAAGTTTAAACTGAATTGGGGGAATGTGTCAGCCTCCTGGGCTAGCAGCATGCTTCAGGCAGCCTCAAGGTAAAGGTGAGTGAGTGCCTTGTCTGGTGAGCAGGTGAAATCCCACCACAAGGATCTTGGGCCTAGGTGGAGGCATCCCTTGATCCAGAAAGGGGTCCACCTAAAGTTGAAATTTTACTAGGAACATTTATCCTGCCTATCCTTAAGAAACTATAAACAGGGTCCCTATTCCCCTAAGCAACTGGTCAGGTTTCATCAGCAAGGAAAAGATGGCAACTTAGAGGACTTTCAGCGCTCTTGGAGCATCCTGTACAAAAAAGGAGGTCAGTGCAAAGAATGGAGGGGAAACTTAACAGCACTGTTGCAAGAAGTCTCAAATTTGCTTTCTGTGGCTCTAGTGGATAAAGTGGCTAGTATAAGCAATTGGGAGTGAAATCTGGATTCCTGTATTGGGATTTAATATAAGGCTACTTTCTAGTCAAATCAAGGACACAAAGCTGCCTGGGCCTGGGCCAAGAGTCATGACAGGCAGGCAGGAGGCCGAGCAGTCAGCCATCAGCCCTCACTGTCAGGATCCCTGGAGAAACAGGTTAAGACCACATCTGCCTGGCCTGGTAATGTTGACCACATCTGCTTCAGGGTAACCTTTAGAACCAAATGGCACCAAGAACAAAGAGTGAGTACACTTCATAACAGAAATAATGTTCTGGGATACAAAGTCCTGCCTGAAGTGATGATGTCAGACACTGTAAAGTAGAAAGTAGCTCAATCCAAGGTTTGATCTTCAGAAATTCTGAGCAGTCTTGACAGAGTTCCTCCCAGAAAGGATGGGAAGCTGGTGCATGTGATTAGTCCAAAGCACTCACCTTAAATGTGACATGTGTATCTGAAAGGAGGGGGCCTTCAACTTCAATGATAGGTGTTGACTGGTCTCTGCTGATCACATGGATGCTCCCTCCTCCACTGGTGTCTATCCCGTCTGCCAGGCTTGGGGGAGAAGAGCTGTCTGTGGTATTAAGTGCTTTAGCTAAGGTATCAAATGCCCTGTGAGCAAAAGTGAAGCAACAAGTGCTGTGAATTCACAGGTTTTAGGGGGAACACAGCTCTAGCTGTGATAAAATTTAGAAAAATGAAATGGGGAAAAGAAATTGTAACTTAAGAAAAGAGTGAAAGCCTGTATTTACTGTGTCTACACAATCTCAGACAGTGAGCTAAATATTCTTTATTTCCACTAGTACTTTCTATTATTTTTTTAAAAACTCCCTCCAAAGTAATAATTCTCTCCATTTTACAGAAGTGAAAATTGAAGTTAAGCTACATTAACTTTCCCAAAATCATCCAGTAATTTAGTAGTGGAATCAGAATTCTAACTCAAATCTCCTGCTCTTTCTACTGTACCTAGCTTTGTCTTTCTGTCTGACCACACACAAACACATGAGCAGAGCGCTTGGATGGCCCCAGCTCCTCACCTGACGACGGGCACAATGGGCAGGACTGACAGGTCCCTCCTGAAAGGAGTAAAACACAAAAGCCAAGCTGCAGAGAAGAAATGTCCTCAAGCAGCCAGTAATATGCCTGGGACATCCATCATCTATCTATCCTGTAGTTTTAAGGTCTAAACGCACTACTTGGAAGAAAAAAAAAACTATGTAAGAAAAATAGAACAAAACAGAAGTGAAAAGGAGGATTATTGTTGTTTTATGTGCCACTGAGTTGCCTGCGACTCATAGTGACCCTATGTACAATAGCCCTAAACCTTGCCCTATCCTGTGCCAGTCTTATTGTCTCCGACACACCTATTCCCATTACCCCTGTCATTGAATCAATCCATCTCATCGAGGGTCTTCCTCTCTTACACTGTCCCTCCACCCTTCCAAGCATGCTGTCCCTCTCCAAGGACTGGTCCCTCCTTGCCACATGGATAGACTAATAGTCAGGGCTAATAGATAGTGATGAATACAAATAACATCTGGCTACTGAAAGTTTCTCCCTTGGTCCCCCTTCTCAGTTTTCACTGAATTACTAAATTTCACTTTTTCCAAGGTCTGGAATGAAAAGCAGTTTGGACTGCTTTATACCTCGTATGTGAGGCGACATTTTCACAGTTAAATTTGAAAGAAGAAAGCTGTGCAGTGTTGCTGTGACAACTCTTGGTCAAACACAGGTGGGGTTCATGGTGCCATCACTGACATTCATAGCACAAAGACCATGTGTGTACCCCAGAAGGGAAGCCCAAAGCCCTGCCCGCATGGCTCATACCGGGTGATCTCGCTCGCAGACTGCTCCTCTGGCTGGATCTCCGAAGTATCACCATTGTTCAAGGATTCACTCAAGTTGGCAAGGGAAGTCACTACATTTGCTAATGTACCCAGGGCTCCCTGGCTTGTTTCTGCCTATTTTAAAAAAACAAACACCACAAAACCAATGTTACAAAGGAGCACACTCACTTACAAGGATTCTTTGGCCAACAAAGGCTCTGAACTAGTTCAAACTGGTACAATCTTGGTTGACCACAGCAATAATGAAAAAGATTTGAATTGTAAAATGTGGGTGTACTGGACAATGATGAGAATAGGAAAAGTTAGTGGGCAAAGCCATGGGCGAGGAAGTGAATTACTACTATAACCATGGTGAGCAACATACAAAGCAGCATAGTTGGCTGCCGTTTTTTAACTGATCAGCTGTTTCAGATTCTGCCAGGCAAGAGGATTGTTTATTTTGCTGCTCTCATTTTTTGAGATTCCATTTTGAGCAGGGTGTTGACTTGTAATTTTTCATGTTCCATTTACTGTTTTGTTATAGTAACATTTTATAAATTTGAGTTTGTTTCAGCTTTGCTTTGTCAGCCCTGAGCGAACAGGTTCAAAGTGCTGGTTTTTTAAAAGCAAGCTTTCTAGAGGGATTCTGACTAAAAAGAGATTAACACAGGGGAATCTTGTGGCTAATGAGACAGTTTACCTTAGTTATAATAGTGGTTACATAAATCTATGTGTTTGCAGTTTAAATGAAATTGACCAAAGTTAAAAAACTTTTGCATTTCAAAGGACACAATCAAGAAAGTTCAAAGCCATCCCACAGAATGGGAATAAATTTGCAAATGCACTTGCTGCGAAGGGTCAAGGACTGCAGCCTTCAGTATGGACTAAGGCTCAATGTCAAGAAGACAAAGATTCTCGCCACTGGACCAATTAGCAGCGTCAGGATGGATGACGAAGAGATTGAGAGTGTTCACAGCTTCAGTTTGCTCGGCTCCACAGTCAACACTCTTGGTACCAGCAGTCAGGAAATCAAAAAGCGTATCGCGATGGGAAAGTCTGCTGTTAGGGACCTCTCAAAGGTATTCAGGAGCAACAGTGTCTCTCTGGAGACTAAGGTGCGCCTGATACAGGCCAAGGTATTTGCAATCGCTTGTTATGCATCAGAGAGTTGGACAATGACTAGGGAGGACAGAAGGAGAGTGGATGCTTTTGAGCTGTGGTTCTGGAGAAGGGTACTGAATGTACCATGGACTGCCAGGAAAACAAACAGATTCATCTTGGAGAGGATTAAACCAAGCTGCTCCTTGGAGGCAAGGATTCTGGGGCTTCGTCTGACATACTTTGGACATGTTGCCAGGAGGGACGGGTCCTTGGAGAGGGACATCATGCTTGGGAGGGTGGAGGGACAACGCAGGAGGGGAAGACCCTCTATGAGATGGATTGATTCGGTGACTGGGGTAATCGGGATGGGTGTGTCAGAGGCGGTGCGGTTGGCGCAGGATAGAGCAGGGTTTAGGGTTGTTGTGCATAGGGTCGCTATGAGTCGGAAACGACTTGACGGCACATAACAACAACAACAACAACAACAGCAACAACCTTTAAGGATCTATCCAATGGACAAACAGGTAAGTAAAGTGTGTTTATCTATACAACAGAGTATTACTCAGCTATAACAAGGATTTAAGTAATACTGCATTATTATAGAAAATACATAAACTTTGAAAATACTATGCTGAGTGAAAAAAGCCAATTACAAACCCCCACACATTATATTCCATTTATATGAAACTAGAAAATTATACAGAAAGAGAATAGATTAGTGCTTGCCTACTGTTACTATAAAGGTGTGAGGTTACTTTAAAGCGAAAAGGGTTTTTGAAAATTCGTGTTCTTCGTCCCTGTGTGGACTGCACAGTAGAATGGTCGTTGGCAAATTCGTGAGTGGTCAGGATTAGGAAAGTCTTCCTCTTAAGACTGCTCTACAGCCCATGGTGGAACCAGAGAGTTAGCTGGGTAAAGAACAAGCCCAGGAGGACTTACTGTCCCATGTCTTGTATTTGATCACTGGACCCAGGACAGGAAGCTCAGAGCCCAGTCAGGGGTCAAGGGGCTGAAGGCAAGCCCCTAGCTAAAGTCTCTCTTTTTTTTCCTCTTTCCCCAAAATGGCTGGCCCTTCTTAACTAGAGTACACACATTAATGAGCCCTGGTGCTATGGACAGCAGGAATGTTAGTCCTCTCGGTTACCCAGGCACCCCTGTTCAAAGACTTGGGTTTGATGCTACCTCATTAATTGGTTTATATCAGGAAAACCAAAATAAAAAAACAAAGGCCATCAATTTTGCAATCTAGTATTAAGGGGGACTAGTCCATGGATTCTTTGGCTTGGACAAAACATTACTTCTCGGTTATAACCCAAGAAGTTAGCCAGTTTTCTCTATCTAAAATTAGCAAACAACTGTTAAATTACCTACAGGTGATTTTTCTCTAGCAAAGTTTTAGAATTCTGGTTGAACTTCTTCCTAAAGTATCTAATAGAAAGGAATTGGGAATTTTTGTGCAAGGCCCTCTTGCAATAAACATCTACCCTCAGCATACCAGTGGTCTGTCAACGTGTGTGCCAGGAAAGGAAAATCTTAATAGAGCAAAAAGCCACGCAACTTTCACATAGAACTTTAAACTTTAATACGCTATAATGACTATGACCAAGGACCCTGAATGAGGTTTCTGCAAAGCTACCACCAAAAGATCACAGAACCAAACTGAGATGCAGAAGGTCATGTTTTCACTGTGGTCTTTCAAGGCCTGGATGAAAGTGGAACATACACACATAAAGCAGCAGCATACCTGTCAATGTAGTCGAGGAGGAAGCATGCAAGGAGAGAACATTACCTTGGAATCCGTGGCCAAAACAACAGTGCCGTCCTCACGTATCAAAGGCTGCTGGATGTTCACAAGCATCCCTGGATCAAGAAGACCTGTCTGTCTATTTAAGACATAAAGAAACCCAGAGTAGCGTCCAGCTTTTTAAGCACAGTGCATTATGCTGCACTTCCCTTCTCGTCTATGTGCACAGAGTTGTCTGAATAGCAGAACAACTCTATTGAGATGTAACCGTTTTGTTAAGTGACTCCATAACCTCCTTCTCTCTGTAAGGAAATATGCGCAAATAGGCTGAGAGAGCATCAAATACAAATGCACCACTGTCTTCTAAACTCACTGAAAACAAGAAGCTCTACCAATAAAGTTAACTTGGGCTTTAGATTACCAGAGTATTTCAATTCCATTTTTCCAGATACATTTGGGATTTCTGATTTCCCTTTCTGGTCCTTTTAAAGGAATACTATTAAAGAGAATAGATGACATTGAATATTTTCCCATTTTCTGGATTGCAGCGTGCAGCTTCTTTGGGATTGCAGCACAGCTTCTTGCCAGGAGGCTACCAGAGCTCCCTCATTTCCCCGCTTTCTATGCCTTTAAAATTACCAAATTAGAAATACAACTGACCTTACCATCTGGGATTTAGGCCTATTGTTCTGTGCAGCAAAATAAAGCCCTCAATTCTGAATTATGGAACACTGGTTTTCCTATATATTAAAAGATATCTAAACTAAGTAGGAAGTGACTTGAGTCCTCTAAGATAGGGGAAATTCTGAGCCTATCTTCTGTCAGCCACCCTCAGGTCTTTCCAGAGGTATGACAAGAGCAGTTAAAGGCTGTGAGAAGGGCATTAACCCTCATGATAGCACCTTTCTGGGGAGCACATGTGTTGCCCTCAAATAGCTCCCAAGGTTGCTCCTGACATCACTCTTTGTGAAACCAGAGAACTGACCTTGCTCCTTCTTTGTCTGCCACAAACGTAGGGGTGGCTATCAGAGGACTTCTCAGGTCCTTCCGGATATAGATTTTCTCAGTTGAAGCAGCACAATTGCTTGGTTTTTCCCTCTGTACATCAAAGGGCTTCCGTTCACTCTGCACAGCTTAAATCAGAACATAAATATTCAAGTTTAGAGAAAAATAGCCAAATCAATAAAAATCACATCCTTCATGGTAAAACAGGGGATCTGTCTCCATCTGTCAGTGACTCCAGAGATGGTAAGCTTTGGTGTTAGATTAGTCTAGCTTGTATTTCACAGTGGACTTTTTAACCAAAGTAAAGAAAGGTCTAATGCCAATGTCAAGAAGACAAAGATTCTCACCACTGGACCAATTGGTAGCATCAGGATGGATGGCGAAGAGATTGAGATTGTACACAGCTTCAGTTTGCTCGGCTCCACAGTCAACACTCTTGGCACCAGCAGCCAGGAAATCAAAAAACGTATTGCGATGGGAAAGTCTGCTGTTAGGGACCTCTCTAAAGTACTCAAGAGCAACGGTGTCTCTCTGGAGACGAAGGTGCGCCTGATACAGGCCATGGTCTTTGCAATCACTTGCTATGCATCAGAGAGCTGGACAATGACTAGGGAGGACAGAAGGAGAATTGATGCCTTTGAGCTGTGGTGCTGGAGAAGAGTACTGAATGTACCATGGACTGCCAAGAAAACAAACAGATTCATCCTAGAGAGGGTTAAACCAGGCTGCTCCTTGGAGGCAAGGATTCTGGGGCTTCGCCTGACATACTTTGGACATATTGTAAGGAGAGACAGGTCTTTGGAGAGGGACATCATGCTGGGTAGAGTAGCACAGGAGGGGAAGGTCCTCTATGAGGTGGACTGATTCAGTGACTGGGGTAATCGGGATGGGTGTGTCAGAGGCAATGCTACTGGCACAGGATAGAGCAGGGTTTAGGGCTGTTGTACATAGGGTCGCTATGAGTCGCAAACGACTCGACGGCACATAACAACAACAACAAGTGCCATGTCACATGGAAAGGTATAAACAAAGAGTGAGGGGAGTTGGATGCAGAAAATGAGGAAGACATGTCCTATGGGAATTCCACACAGAGCTTCTATTTCTTTTTTTTTTTAAATTTCTACTTCTTGTAACTAACAAAGAGACTTTCCTTGAGATGAGAAATGCCTCTGCTTCAAGTAACCCTTAAAACAGACCACTTGTCCAATGTCAGAACGATTCTAATTTCCAACTCAAGCCTAAAACAGTAGTTTTTGCCATCTGTTAATGGGTGTCAATTTTAAATCTTAACAGCAATCTCTCCTTTCACAAAATCAAGCATAAGAACAGTCTAAAAGACAGAAAAAAGTAAACAAAAGGAAGATATGTTTAAAGCAAAGAATAAGAACGACACCTCAGAGACTATAATTTAGACATCCTGCTGAGCAGAGTGAAATCCAGTTGGGTCTTCAATTTGTAGGTACTGCTATGATTGCAGAAAATGGATTCCAGTCAATATTCTGAGTGAAAATATTCACTACTGAAAAAAAAGGAAAACTTGGCCATGTGGGCCAGTTCAACACTAAGTCAGTGATGTATTATTATTAATTCACTTTGGATTCAACAGTACCACTGGGTAAAATGGCCTAGTGTTAAGAAACTGTGCTGCAATCCCAAAGGCAAGTGGTTCGAATTCACCAGTTACTCCGCAATCTCCTCCGGTGCAATTTACTGTCTCTGAAAAACCCCTGGAGGAGCAGCTATGGGTCAGTTCTTATTTGATGGTACATGAACACCAACAACAACATTACACCACTAAACAGAAATTAGAAGCTGGAACAAACACATCTTCATTTGTTCTTTGGTGAATTTTGCAGCATTCTGTCTCTGGAAATGCAAACACTACTGTACATGTACTGGTGGTCTCAGTTTTCCTAAAGGATCCTGTAGGAGCTGAGAGGACAGCCCCTCAGCAGCTGTGGTCTCAGCTGCAGGTCACCAGGCCTGGTCTTGCACCTCCGGCTTTCTCCCTGCTTCTGGATACGCAGCCTGCAGCCTTGCCAGAGCAGTGTACCTGCCTCTGCCTCCCACTGCTCTCCTGTTGCGGTCTCACAATCTGAATCTGCTCTCCTTGGATTTCTCACAGCTGCCGATCTTGGATCCTGGTCTTGTTTCCAACCACTAGCTAGGAAATAGACCTCAATCCTTATTGGTCCTTAAAGAAAAGAGTCCAGTTGTGGAATTCCTAGCCCAAAGTATTCTGGCTACAAAAACCAAGAGGAGAAGAAGCCTGAGACCTCCTCTGTCTGTCTCACACCAAGGAAAACAGCTGTTTTGAAGCCCAGCTGCACAGACACTCTGGCGCTGGGCCTAGCCCCAAGGAAAGCAGCATAGTGGTGCAGAGGGATATACCTTTGGAGACTTGGAAATCCAGATCTAAACTCTCTAGTGGACAATTCTAAAAGGAGATTCTGATATTTCTTCAAGAGCTATGTCTTTGGATCACAGAGAAATGATAAAACATATAAAAATGATCCAAACATATAGAAATGATCCAAAAAATTATCTCTTGAACAAAATAAAAACTCAAACTCATTGCTGATGAGTCAGAACCAAATCACAGCTGACTCTCCAATGAATCTGAGGCTGTAAATCACATAGGAGATGATGTTATCTCTTCTAAAGAGCTCCTCGTGGATCTGAACCACCAGAGAGGCGCCATCTTCATGTTAGCACTACGACTCCCTACAGATTAGGTCACCACAGCTCCCCAAACAGAATCAAGTCAAATTCCTGCCATGGCAAGGACACAGTCCTTTCTGGACTTCCTGGCAGGAAATGTGGGAACATTCTCTGGTAATGAGAAAAAAGGCGTTGTGGTATTGTCGTGGGAACAAACTGAATGGTTGTTGTGGGAACAAACTGAATGGTGAGTAGTTCAAACCCACCAACTGCTCCACAAGAAAAAGATGTGGTAGTTTGCTCCTGTAAAGATACGCAGTTTTAGAAAGATACGCAGTTTTAGAAACTTTGCAGCAATTCTACTCTATCCTATAGGGTTGCTGTTGAGTCAAACCTAACTTGAGAGCAATGGATATATGATGAGCACTTGCTGAGTACTGAGGCCAAAAAAAATATAAGTAAAGAATAAGCTCAATTAATCCTCAAAACTACATGCACTACTTCACAAAGGAGGACACTGAGGATGACAGAGTGACATGCTTTCATAAATCTCCTAGGTGGCAGCTCTCTGGTGTCTGCTTTATTCTAGAGTCTATGCGTATTTTGTTACGCTGGACAGCCTCCCACGTTTACTGCAATAGCTTTTCATATGCACCAACCCCAACTCCACCGGCTCTGAACCGTCTAGTTGATCCAGGTCAATCAGAATGAGCTCCCAATGGATAGTTACTTAATAAATGCTTGCTCATTTTCGTCCCTCTGTTTACTCACTGTAATTTTTAATATTTTTACTCACATTCCATTTTCATGCCCATCTCTAAGCATTTTTTCAGCCGGCAAAATTGACAGCGGTTCCGATGGTGTTTATTGATGATACAGTCTTGGTTGCTCCGGCAACTGTAGGTCAGATTTTTCCTTACGCTCCTTTTGAAGAAACCTTTACAACCCTCACAACTGACAGCCCCATAGTGACGACCTGAAAGGAGAAAGAGTGCATGAAGCCATTTGCCAAGAGGATGAGCGGGTTTTTCACATACACAGGAAATTGACTGGTACTATAGTATGGTGGCCATGTGGATCCCAGAAAGCTTGAACAGTCAAGCTTGGTACCCACGGGTTAACCAAAATTTTTGAGGTAACAATGTGAAAACAAGCTCAGAGCCATTTTACAACTGCTAGAAAAGGCAATGTTCTTAGTACAGAAAGCATCCAAGAGGAGGGGCTTATAGGTGTGACAATTGAATTGTATCATCTACCTGTGAACACTTGGCCCTAGCCCTGAAGACCTGGCTTTGGGATCTTCTTGGGTCTCTGGTCTTGTAGAGCAGGAGCAACATGACTGAGGTGTTTTATCATACAGGCTGTCACTGCTGAGGGTACCATGTCTGGCTCATGTTCCAGGCCCCAGACTTCTCCTAGCTGATTGGGATTGCTTAGAGCACAACCACAGCTACCACGTGGCTCATCTGGGTCAGGTATTCAGGCCTCCTTTGAAGACACAATCTTAAAAATGTATTTATTAAACTTAGCTCATTGTTCTAATCTTGTTTCCTCTGATGTCTCTAACCTTGAATTACCATTTACATTAAGAAAAGGCCTCTACCACGGTGTATCCTTAGTTCACAAAATGCTGTCACACAAATGGTCTCATTTATCCCAGCTGGGAATGACCTTGCAAATGTGCAGATGCTCTTCTAGCTCTGTTGTTTTTAAGCCATTTCATAGTTGCCCTGCTAAGAATGACATGTTTCACAGGACAGTCATTTGAAACATTTCAATTTTGTGCATTTACGAATAGTTCTGCCTGGTTCTATTCTGTCTTAGTCTCAGTCTGGAAGCTCTGCTGAAAGCTGACTGACCCATCTGAAACACGACTGACTCGGCTGATATCTGAAACACCAGTAGCTTAGCTTTCAGCATCACAGCAATCTGCAAGTCATCACAGTACTGCAAACTGACAGACAAGTCTACCCATAAGAGAAAATTATTATACAAGCAAGCAAACAACTGAAGGGGAAATTATCAACAAGATTGACTGACACAGAGACTGTAACAATAGGCTAGATGAGAGCATGGTGGAGACAATGAAGATGGCACAGGATAGAGCAAAGCTCCAATTAGTTACTCACAGGGCCACTGTGAGTCATAGTCAACTTGATGGCACCCTAACACTACACAATGAGCTTCTAGTCTGAGAAGATGTGGCTATGTCTGCTCATCAAGCTGGCAAGAAAAAAGCCTCTGAAAAATCCCAAGGACATTTATAAGGAGGATAAAGTTTTCAAAAAGAAACTCAACGAGTTAAAAGTGATAGCTGCAGAGAGGCACCTGCCACAAGTTAAGGAATTTGGCCAAAAAACCAAGCTGTTCTTTATAACTCAGACAATGGTCATCCCCTTGATTGCATTAATGTTTCAATATCTATATTCACTGCTATGTCATCTGTTGTCACCTACAGTTAGAGTGAAGTACTGTTTTTTTTTTTTTAAAAAAATTTTTTAATTTTAATAATTTTAATGAACATTTACAGAGATTGTGGATTTCCATTCATTCATTGCTGCCCTTCTCTCCCCGCTCCCTCAGTTAGCTCCTCTTTTTCAAAAGTAAAAGAAACACTCCCTCCCTAGTACACAATCCCCCCGCACCCTTCCCATGGCCCCAAGTACATTTCACTATGCAACCTTAATTGTGGACTCGAAGTACTGTTCTGAAATCTGTTACACAGTTAGAAATTTTTGTTTTTTAAAAGAAGGAAAAGAAAAAAAATTTTCCTAAAATTACTTTTCTATGCATGGTTGCTTTTCCTATCCTATTTCCTTGAACCATTTCTTCTAGTGACATTTAATATCCTGACAAAGACATAGAAAAACCAGGTCTTTTCTTTAAGCCCAGAAGAACAATGACTGGAAAGACTAACAAGATTTGGTGGTTTTTGTTAAGTTGATTGTTTGATTCTTTTGCTCAAGTTTTCAGAAAGCCTCCTCTTTGCTGGGACTGGAGACACCAAGATGGATGGATAAAATATGGTCTTCTTCAGTATGGTAGTGAAGGACTGATCTGCAAAAATATCCACTATAAGATAGCCCAATAAATTCCTAGAAAGGTCTGTACAAAAAGGCAGCCAGGACCAGAGGCAATGCTGTTTTTCTACAGGAGAAACAAGTGAAGTAAGGGCTTTAGAGAAGTGATTGGTTTGGTTTACCAGGAAGAAGGATGGGAGCAGAGACAGGATACCAGTGATAGAATGAATAGTACCACCAGTTTGTAGGGAAAGCTGTAGCTCCTGATCTTCTGGAGATGCTTGTCAAGAGATGCCCTTTGGAGTAGACTGGTCCAGTCTCTCTTTTTTGCCAAGCTACAATGTCTCTTAAGCATCTATGAGTTTTGTGACTACTCTGGTGACATAAGGCATTACGTATTGTGTTGTTCACCAAAAGTTCAGTGGTTCTAACTCAATAGCTGCTCTTTAAGAGAATGATAGGCAGTTTCCTTCTGTAAAAATCTGCTGTTATGTGCCATGAAGTTGGAAACAACTCAAGAGTTGACCCTCTAGTGGATTTTAAGAGGCTGTAAATTACATGGCAGACTTCCCATTTCTCTCCTGCTGAGCGGCTGGTGATCTGAACTGCGAGCCTTTGGGTTGGCCACACAACCTGAAAATTGGATGGAGCATCATTCTGAGTAAAAATTAACTTGACAGCAATGGGTTTTAAGCAGCCATCAAAGGTTGCAAGTCTGTGTCCTTGGAATCACCAGAGAATCACCTTCATTAAATACTTCTTTACTCCTCCTCATGTTTTCTTTACCTTCTATGGCTGTCCAATGTCAGCAGGCCAAAGTATAAATTTTAGGCCAAATATCTCCAGCATCCTTGCACTCATGCCCTGACCACAGATGCTCTTCTTCAAGGATATCATGGATATGGATAGTCATTTCCCTAGGTCTACCCTCTACTAGCTAGAACGCCCTTCCCTTGCCTCTGTCAATATGCATATATCAGCCACCATGCTCACCAATCCCCATGTATGATTGCCTCTACAGAATATCACGTTGGGTTATAGTGAGAGGAGGACATAGGTGTACTATTAGGCACTATTACTATACTAATAGAACATAAAGTATTATTAGGTCAAACAGGATCCTTTAAAGAATGGATCCTGTAAAAAAGGAAGGCACTGTTGGGATTGTAAAATGGTACAACCATTCTGCAAGGCAGTTTGGCATTTCCTCAGAAAGCTGAACAAAGAAATTCCATATGCTCCAGCTATTCCACTGCTTTGAATATACCCCGAGAAAATGAGAACCAAAGCACAAATGGAGACTTGTACATCAATGTTCATAGCAGCATTATTCACCATTGGAAGAAAAGGGAAACAGCCCAAATATCTAACCACAATCGGATGGATTGAGAAATATGGTACATTCACACAATGGAATACTACGCAGCATGTAGGAGCAATGATTTTATAAATCAACTACCTAACTTGGGAGGGACTGGAGAGTATTGTGCTAAGTGAACTAACTCAGTTCCATCAGGAAAATAATGTGTAAGACCATTATCGTAGAATGTGTATGAGGATCCAAAGGGGGAGGGGGGAGCAAAGGGGTGAGGACAGTTTAGGGGTAGGGGTGGGAGAGTTAATCATAGGGTCAAACAATCTGATAAGTGGAGGGAGGGGTGGATAAAAGAAATGGGAAAGATCTGGTGTGAAAAACAATGTATATAAAACTTCAAAAGTAAACCAATACAAAATAAAAAAAAATTTTAAAAAAAGCAAAGGGCTGTGTAAATACTAATTGGTTTACTACTTTCTCAGTAGTATGCAAATAAACATAGTATGTTAGATATTTAACCATTATTATCTAAGTCACAGAAGAGTTTATTACTTCTTTTTTATTTTAATAATCTGACAAACTGGTATTACTAGTTTTGAAACCTACAGAAAATGCTTTCTCCACTCTCTCAATTGCACTCACAATTTTGTTCATGACTTTGTTCTTGATATGCACCCACTGCACCTGGGCTACTCACCAGAAGCTTTATCTCCACAGACCACGCAGTACTCTACCACCTGGGGCCGCTGGATGTCGGCTTTCCCCAGCAAACGCTCTACAGAAGCAGAATCTGTGACGATCTAAGGGATATCAGGAAATAAGCAAAAGTGTGGCTTAAAAACCAGATCACTAAGAAAAGTAATATTTAATGGTAAATTCCTAATCCTGGGTTTCTAAGTAGAGACTCTGAGCAGAATAACAGAAAATTCTACCCTACAACCTCATCTGTTTCTCGCAATGGCCTTGCTCCTCACTGATCGCACCCCTTCCACGGATGTTTTAAGATTGGCCAAGATCTCCATTCACCTGGGTTCTCCTGTCTGGCAATCTCAGCTATACAGGATAGGAACCACAAAGGAAACCACACATCGTTCTCCAACATGGTCATCTGACAGTTTCTATATTCCCACAAAACAGCTTGTATGCAAAGAGGTGTATTTAATACAGTAACAGTCAAAGCCAAGCTCTATAAATTAAATAACTAGGTTTCTGACTGAGCCAGTTAAAGGAGTTGTTGTTGTGTATCATAGAGTCAGAATCGACCTATATCTGACACTCCAGCAGGTTTTCAGAGGCAGTTAATCAATCACACAGGAGGAGACTGCCCATCCTTCTCCCGCAGAACAGCTGGTGGCCTCAAACCACGTGCCTTCTGGATTGCAGTGCAGCTTCTTGCTGTTAGGCCACCAGAGTTTAAGGAGAGAGGACTAAAATATGTAACCTCTGACATGCTATTTTTCATCATTTATACCAATGTAACTAGTATCACACTTATACGACTGGAACTAGTATCAATATGAAAATAGAGGGGAAAAAAATTAACTGGTATTAACATGTGCCTGAATGTGAGCCAATGAAAAACATTAAATTTCTTTTATGTATGGTGGAAACATATACAGAAATCATTACGTAGAAATCATATACTAGAAATAAGAAGGAGGAATTCTGACTTCAGATGATTAAAACAGAGTCTACTATCTGTTTTATTTACTAAGGTGCCTCAAAATAGGATCTCAGGAGAAAGCGAAATCCTAACATACTGGTGTTCTAAACTGAGTTCCATCAGAAGGAAAAAACCAAACAACCCCCCCTCCATTTTTCCTTCTTTAAGGAGATTCTTCACAGCAGAAAGCCCCAAAGAAAGCATCTTGATGCTAACTAATGGCAGAAGCCTCAAGTCTTTCCTTAAGTTAGGAAATGTATGCTTCCCATTCTTAATGTGCTGACTCAGAATAGATTTGATAGCAATGAGTTTAATCTTATGCTGAAAAAGAACCCTACTTCCTTTTAATCTCTGACTCCAATCTTCCTTGGACTTCTTCCTGTGGCATTCAGCTGAACCTCCCTGCCAGAACAGGGAGAACAGGGCAGAGATGGTGGTGATTGCTGAGGGAACCAACAAAGCCCAGCAGCCCACAAGAATAAGAAAGAATAGGACATGCACACCCATGTTTATCGTGGCTTTGTTCACAATAGCAAAGAGTTGGAAACAACCCAAGTGCCCATCAACTAACAAATGGATAGAGAAGTTGTGGTATATTTACATAATGGAATAGTATGCTGCATTGAAAACCAAGGAATTCTATCTCAGTCACAAAAGGACAAATACTGCATAGTGCCACTGTTGTAAAACAGGACTGACCCTGGGGTTGGGAAGAGACAGAGAAAGATGGAATAAATAATGTATACTGCATTGAAACAGATGAAGGAGAAAACTGTTTAAAAGGGATATGTGATTAGGTTTTATTGTCGTAACAGGAGTCCAGAACGAAGACTGCATAGTGGAGTGGATGTGGATTGTATAACAATGAAAGAATTTTTCTTTTACTTTTCAAAGAAAAGAGTGAACGGGGGTGGAGGGAGGAGTGGGCAAGGAGAAAAGTGCAACAATGAATGAATGGAAATCCAGTCTCTGTAAATTTTCATTCAAATTAATAATAATAATAAAAAAATCAAACTAAAAAAAGAAAGAGTGAATAGGACAAGACTAAAGACCAGGGTTAACAATGTAGGGCAGGGACAAGGTCAGTCCTATGAGTATTGTGTGGGGGTGGGCCAATGGGTACCATCCTGTGGTCTCAGCAAACCTTCTTCAGGGGTTTCAGGGTCACTCACTCAAGGCCAATATCCTATAGATAATGATTTTTGCAAGCTAATTTCCTCTGAGCACTGTACTCGGTGCCTCTCTGAGTCTAGCCACTCATCTGTGGATTCTTTCTCTTATTTTAGTCAAAGCAGCAACCTCCTATGTTTTCAGGTTCCCTAAGAGCCTTTTAAAGGAGTTCTGGTGGTCTAGTGATAAGAAGTGACTTGAAGGCGTGTGGTTCAAATCCATTAGCTGCTCCATGGGAGAAAGACAGGGAATTTCCTCTCACGTGATTTACTGCCTCTGAAAACCTGTTGGTGGGTCAGCTATGGGTTGGTTTTGACACAACAGCACATAACAATAATGAGGGACTTTTAAGGGAGTTCTGGTGGTTAACTGGCTAAGGTGTTGTGCTGTCAATCAAATGGAACATAGTCTGAATCCACAAGATGCTTCCAGGGAGAAAGATGGGCTAATCTCTTCCCTAGAGATTTATAGCCTCTGAACACCCACTGGTGAGTCAGCTATGAGTCAGTTCAATCTTGATAGCAAAGAGTTTTTTTAAAGGGCCTTTGGGGATGGGTTTAAGCTTCAAGTCACAGATAAGAATCAGGAATAAGGTCAGCAGTCCTCACCTGGATCCTCCCGGGAACGAGGTTGTCAGAAGTGGTGAATATGAGCTGCTTGGCACTGGATGTCTCTGGTGAAGCCAGGATCACCTTTCCAGTTCCAGCTCCATCGGGGCTGGTTAGGATGAACTGCTGTTTAGGGGATCCGGAGGCGTCCACTGCGGTGACTATCTGGATCTTCTGTCCTGTCTGCTGGTCTGTCACAATCTACAAGACATAAGAAGAAGTCTGCTCTCAAGGAGCACTGCGCACCTTGTGCATGAGTAGGTGGCGCCCAAATGCAGACCTTGTGGTTCAAGATGCTGCTTCACCGGTCCATGGTGAAATGAGAAAAATAAAACCCAACAGTAAATTCTGCAGAAACAAATTTTCAAAACGCTAGTTTTATTTTAGAATTATATTTTCTTTATAATTTTTAAAATTAAAATGCTTTATTAAAAGAATTAGAATGAAGGCAATAATAAATAATACATAGATTTTAACTTAAGAAAGAATAGCATCCTTAGGGAGCTCTGGTGGCCTAGTGGTAAGAAGCTGCACTGCAATCCCAGAGGTACGCAAATCCATCAGATAGATACTCTGCTGGAGAAGGAGGGCAATCTCCTGTACCAGTCAGATCCAGTTTAACAGTGCAAGCACGCGTGCACACACACACAAATGAAAAAAAGTTAAAAAAAAGAAAGAACAGCATCCTTGACTTAGCATAAATTTAAAAATATGGGCAAACCTAACTTTTGAATGCTAGTGATACACAAAATCTAAAATCTTGGAATAAATGACTGCTTTATGGACTATCTAAAGGAAAAGTCCTGTAAATAATCATATTTAGAGACTGACAAAATGCAGCGAGTCCCTTCCTGACAAAGTGTGCACTGATTACCCTCAATGACCGTTCTGCTATCCGCTCAACCTGCAGCCACTTCCTGACTTGAACGTCTTTAAGGGAGAGATTATGCTCTACTCATGGCCAGCACAGGGTCTAGGGCATGGAAAAAAGACAATGAAAGCTTAGTGGATGCACTGAGGGCAGTGGGCACTGACTGAATGTTGCAGAGCTCACTACAGAGACCAGCTCCTCTCAGCACCAGCTGCGATAAAAAGTGACTATCGTTATTAAGATAATTATTAATACTAACTTCTCTTATACCCACTTAAGCAGTTCTTCTGAGCTGCTCCAGGCCATATTTTGCCTCTTTCCCAAAACCTCTGGCTTGAAGAACTACTCTTGCTGCTAATTAGATTCCTGGGGCTGATCTGGGCCAAGGGAAGATGCTCTGCATCTCTGGCAAGGATTTAGGTTTAGTTTCACACAGGGTTGCAGATTTAAATATAAGTGTGGCATTTGCACCATCCCCTGGCAGATTCTTGTTTTGTGAAATGGAATTCCAAAGATTCAGACAATAGGCCTACCGAATCTAATACAATAGTTTTGTCAGTGATCCAACTTGAAAATGAGACAATGTAGGCTGCTTTATAAAAAAACAACAAAAAAGTGATATAGGCAAGAAATTTCTTGATAACTTACTGTCCATTCTGTGTCAAGCACTGTTCTAGGTGCCAAAGATGGGGGATGGACAAAACAAAGGTTCTGTTCTCATGGGGCTAACCTTTTAGTAGAGGAAAAATGATGGAATGTCAGTAGGAAGTGCCATGGAGAAAACTGAAGCAGGGTAACTGAAAAGAGAGTGACACAGGGAAGGAAGCAAGGAGGAACTTTTTTAAAAATTATTTTTATTGTAATATTTTTTACGTGTACCGTCAAATCAGATCTGACTGGTGCAGGAGGAGATTGCCTCCTCCTTCTCCAGCAGAGCATCTGGTGGATTTGAACCGCGTACCTCTGGGATTACAGTGTAGCGTCTTGCTACTAGGCCACCAGAGTGCCCTTGAGGAGGAACTTTTTAAAGGAAAGGTCTCCTGGAGGAAATAACATCTGAGTAAACACTTGAATGAATGAAGCATGAATGAATGAAGCAAGATGGAGAGCCATGAAAGACATGGTCAAGTATGTTAACAGCGGGAGTCCATCCACAGCAAGAAGAGAATGGGAACATAAAATGTTCAGACATCTCTTTTTATGCTCTTCTCAATCCTCTTGGTAGAAGCATGGAAGGCATGAGACTGGGTTAGGGTTGGTTGTGTCTAGACCTAGATAGAATGGCTTGTTTAGGGTATAATATATATCCCCAAACTCAGGCATATGTGGTCTGACTTAATCTGACAGGCATAGAGTCAATGCTCATTTTATTGCAAAGAATTACTTACAATTTCTATATTATTGTGTCTATCCTTCCCCTCTTATAAGATGTCCATACTCCATTTAGAAATGTCTCCTCCAGGACAAAACTGAAAATGTAAGTAGGGGCAAAAACCATTCCAGTATTCTACTGGAATCCAAGGTGAACATCAGGCTAACAGAGATCCCGCTGACAAACGTAGATCCTATCTAATGAGACTGAAAAACATTACATTGAGCTTGTGCCCAAAATTCACTAAGGTTTTCTCATCTACGGAGGAGAGGTAAATTATTTCTTTATTTACTTGAATAAATGTTCATATTACCTGCCTGTCAGAAACAATACAGCAGGAATCAAGAAGGAACATAGCTGTTATTTTGCCATCAAGTCAGTACCAATCCACAGCCGAACCCCTAGTGACTTTTGAGAGCAGTTAATCGCAAGGGAGGAGACTGCCCATTTTTCTCCTGAAGAGTAGGAGTGGGATTTGAATTACCAGTCTTTACAACTGCTGTGCAGGTTCTTATCGCTAGGCCACCGGGACTCCCTTAGGAGCATGGTAAGAAGGGTATCGAAAAGACAAATTGCATTAGGTAAATCTGTTGTCAGGGATCTCTCAAGAGTACTGAGAAGCAGCGAAGTCAGTCTAGAAACTAAGTACACCCGATCCAGGCCATGGCCTTCGCAATTACTTGCTATACATCTAAGAGCTGGATAATGGCTAAGGATGACAAAAAAAAAACCAATACCTTTGAGTTGTGGTGCTTGAGAAGAATCTTGAACAAACCAAAACACATAAGTCTGTCTTGGAGAGGATGAAACCAATCTTCTCCATGAAGGATAGGATTTTGAAGCTCTGTCTCACTTACTTCGCGAGCATGTGGCCAGGAGGGACCGATCCTTGGAGAAGGACCATTATGCTCAGAAGGGTGAAGGGACAGTGCAGGAGAGGAAGACTCTTGATGAATGGATTGATATAGTGACTGGGGCAATGGGGGTGGGTGTGTTGGAGTCAGAGAGACTGGCTCAGGACAGAGCAGGCTTTGGAGCTGCTGTACAAAGGGTGGCTATGAGTCATAGGTGACTTGATGGCACATAACAACAATGATCTGGTCTGAGTGGAAGAAAAAGTCTCCTCAGGGATGAAGCTTATACTGAAGTAAAGCTTTAAATGAAAAAGAAAAAAAAATGTTAAAAATATTTTTTGGTTGTTACCTACCATTTAAAATTAAGAATTTTTCCATAACTCGAAAGCACTTTGCAAAAGGAGACATTCAGATGGTCAGTAAACATATGTAGAAATGTTCGAGACCATAAGCTATTCACTCAACTCAATGCTGATGAGTAGGAACTAACTCATGGCTGATCCTCCAGTGGGTGTCCAGAGGTTGTAAATAACAAGGAAGGAGATGGCCCATCTTCCTCTTGTAGAACTACTGGTGGGTTAGAATAGGTTGCCTTTAAGTAAGCTGTGTATCTCCCTCCAGACTATGGCACCAGAGCCATTTAGAAAGATGCAAATAAAAAATAACAATGCGTTACCATCTTAGTCCAGCAACATTAGCGAAGTTCAATTAAGAGAGTAAAGAACAAAAGCTAGTGAAGGTGTAGAACTCTTACACTGCCCTAGAATATAAAATGGTGCAAATACTACAGAAAGCAGGTTGGCACTTCATCAGAAAAAGCTGAAATGGAAATACCACCTGATCTACCAGTGCCACCTTCCTGTCTTTCTCACTGCCTTCAAGTCAGAACTGACTTACAGCTGACCCTCCAGTGGGTGTCTGAGGCTATAAATTGAACATAATGTGGATTGCCCATCTTTCTCTTACTTAGAGATGCTGGTGGATGTGAACCACTAGAGAGCACTATCTTTGAGTTAGCAGTGCAGCACTATGAACTGACTATGCCATTGGAGCTCCTCAGTTATCCCATTGCTATGAATATATTCTAAAGAAATAAGAGCTGTGACATAAACTGATAAATGAGTACCCATATATATTGCAGGATTATCTTAATAGAAAAGAAATGGAAGTAATTTAAGTGTCAGTCAAAGGACAAATGGCTACAGAAACTATTCATACAAGGGGCTATCCAACACTGAAGAATGATAAAGAACTTATGAAACACTACCTAACATAGATGAATCTTAAAGGAAATTATGCTGAGTGACACATATCAGTCAAAAAAGGACAGATATTGCACAAGAACACTACTAAAAAAGCTAAGAATCTACAACCAGGAGAGGATAAAATAGATGAACAGGACCTTCCAAGAATCAATTCCTCATGCACATCCAAAAACTTTTCCAACAGGGTAAAAAAATGAAAGCCACAGATTGGGAAAAAATATTTGGTAATGACATATCTGATAAGGGACTTATATCTAGAATTTCTAGAATACTACAGCACCTCAACAAGATAAACAACCCAGCTGCAAAATGGGCACAGGATAGGAAGAGACACTTCACCAAAGATGTCATTCAGATGGACAAAAAACACATGAAGAAATGTTCAAAATCCCTAGTTCTGAGACAGATGCAAATTAAAACAACTATGAAATATCACCTCACCTCAGTAAGAACAGCAAACTTTAACAGAAGAGCAAACAACAAATGCTGGTGAGATTGCAGAGAACCTGGAACCCTTATTCACTGTTGGTGGGAGTGTAAAATGGTGCAACTACTCTGGAAGGCAGTATGGAGCCTTCTCAAAAAGTTGGAAATAGAAATACTATTTGACTCAGCAATTCTACTACTGGGAATATACCCTAAAGAAACCATGACTGCCACTCAAGCAGATATATGCACACCCATGTTCATTGCTGCATTGTTCACAATAGCAAAGAGATGTAAACAACCCAAGTGCCCAAACTAATGGATAGTGAAGCTGTGGTACATTCACACAGTGGAAAACTATGCAGACAACAAAGTCTCATTACTGCATAATGCCACTATTATAAAACAGGACT